GTGTGTGTGTGTGTGTGTGTGTGTGTGTGTGTGTGTGTGTGTGTAATGTTATGAGACTTAAGCTATTTAGTCTAAACATTTATGTTTTCATATTATAATTTGTAGTCATTCTACAACAAAAAAGGCATAATTTATATTTCCTAATTTTTTATGGTGGTTACGAGATCGGTCAAATCGACCTAATCCGTACAGAGATTTGTTAGGGAAAATAACAGATAAAATATAATGTTTGTTCTTAAGAAACGTTTGATAACTATCTGGATGTTATAGATTTCATTTGTGAAATTTGAAAAATTTCTGATGCATAAAAAGTTAAAAGTATTTTTAATCTTAAAATCAAAATTACTTTGTATGTTGGATAGTTAACATGTGAAAAGAAAAAAGGCATAGAAAAAATTACATAAAAAATCTGATATTTTGCATATGAAAGCCTTGTAATGTTTACTGATAATATGCAGAATTTCATGAAGATATGCTTTCTAATTTACAAGTTATAGCATGAAAAATATAACAAAAACAAAATGATTATGAGCCTATGCTGAGAGAGTTAAACGTGTCTGTCAGCCATTATTGTACCTGAATACTCCACACACACACACACGCAAATATAGGATATTTTTAGCATATTTCTGGCTTTTATAAGTCTAAAGAATGACCTTTGAAGAAGTTTTCCAAACTGACCTGTAAACTGTAAATGGTAGAAGTAAACTATTAAAGATTGAAACTATTTTAATGTTATATTAGAAAGTGAATACTGTAATTTTCTTCTTACTCCATGTTAGGAAAGGATCTTTAGTCGTGAAGACGTTAAAGCATTGTAGTGAACTGAAAAAAAACTTTCATACCTGCTTCTTTGACTTATCTGGTGAGTAAAGAATGTATTCCTGATCTTTCTTGGATTGCTCAGCCTGTAATAAATGAGAAATACGAATCATTTATTACAATTTCTGCTCCAAAGAATCAGCAATTAGCCACCTTTTAAACAGGATCAGAGTGGATTTGTAATCTGTTTAGTACAATTAAATATTTCAACTGAAAAACACCTAAACAGATGCACAAAATTTACACAGAATGAAATGTTTATTCATTATATACTTAACTATTTCACGTCATATTATTATTATTTGTTTACAAAAGTTTAGTCCTTCATATATTTTCATAATACAGTTATCACAACAAAAGTACTAAAAATATTCAAAATTCATTTTTTACTAAGAGCAAGTTTAAATTACACTTTACATGGAAAATATGTGCACAAGCTTGTTTTTTTTACTAGATACATATATTTGTATTCATATAAAAAATTTAGAGATGATGTTCTGTTGTGTTATAACAATCGTTTTTTTTAGTTGCAGATATTACCATGTTTAAATTATAATTATGATCTTGAATTTGATAAATAAACAATTTCACACTTCAGATTAGGTCCTGCACATAAACTGGATTATAATACGTCATCATATTTTGCAAAGATTACACTAAATGCATTATTTTATACGATAATACTTAAGAAAAATGGGATAAATATTAACATAAATTCACTTTTATTTTCTAGAAAATAATGTTGATTAAATAGTTGACTCAAACCTGTAAGTCTATTATTTGGCTGTTGATTAAATAGTTGACTAAAACCTGTAAGTCTATTATTTGGCTGTTGATTAAATAGTTGACTAAAACCTGTAAGTCTATTATTTGGCTGTTGGTTAAATAGTTGACTCAAACCTGTAAGTCTATTATTTGGCTGTTGATTAAATAGTTGACTAAAACCTGTAAGTCTATTATTTGTCTGTTGATTAAATAGTTGACTCAAACCTGTAAGTCTATTATTTGGCTGTTGACTAAAACCTGTAAGTCTATTATTTGGCTGTTGATTAAATAATTGACTCAAACCTGTAAGTCTATTATTTGGCTGTTGATTAAATAATTGACTCAAACCTGTAAGTCTATTATCTTCTTCTGTAGATCTTTTACTAAATCCAGCTTCTCTCTGAATTCAGAATTATTCTGGTCATCAAAAGTTTGGTTGATAGCATCAAAAGTGATCCTAAAATTGATAAAAATACACAATTTACACACACACACACAATATATATATAAAGAGAGAGATAAGCAACTTCTGAAACTTTATACTAGAATATCTGAATTGGAAATTATTCTAGTCATCAACAATCTGTTTTAGGACATCAAACAACTCTAAAACTGATATACTATGTAATTTACACATTATTTGTAGCCAGTGAAACATATTTATGCTAGAACAGCTGACTAATTTTTATTAATGAATTGTTCGTTTTGAATTTCGTGCAAAGCTACACGAGGGCTATCTGCACTAGTCGTCCCTAATTTAGCAGTGTAAGACTAGAGGTAAGGCAGCTAGTCATCACCACCCACCGCCAACTCTTGGGCTACTGTGAATAGTGGGATTGACCGTCACATTATAACACCCCCACGGCTGAAAGGGCAAGCATGTTTGGTGGGACTGGGATTTATTAATAATTAAAAACTAATCAAAATATTAATGATATAAGCTAATTTGAATTATTCTTATTGCCATTTTAAAAAATTTACTTTAATAAATGATAAATTATTTTAACAGTTTGTTTGTTTGAATTTATGCACAAAGCTACACATTGGGCTATCTGTACACTACCTACAATGGGTATCGAAACCCGGTTTCTAGCATTGTAAGTCTACAGACATACCGCTGTGCCACTGGGGGGCATTTTTAACAGAAAGATAAGTATAAATTTTGTGCTGAGATCTATATTTTTTTAAGACACAAACATCTTTAACTTACTTTTCTCTACATACAAATCAGTGACACTGAAATACAAAATATGTATGAATAAAGAAATAATCCTTAGACATTTTAAGTGCATAATTTTATTCTAAATACAGTTTAACAAATATAAGTGAAACAAGTCAGGTAATTCATTTACACTTGAGCTATCCCCCTACAAACAGTAATAAAACATACCCAGTCTGCTCTTTCAGTTCTTCGAGTTTCTGCTTGAGTCGTTCTCTCGCAATTTCAGCCTATTTTAGAAAGTTTTTGTATTAAATCGTTGTGTTACTGAAATATGTATATGGCCTTAAAAAATAAAACCATAGAATTCAATACTGTATTTTAATTATTATTTCAGTGTCAGATTTTTTTTCATTTATTGAAATTATAGCTATATACAATCAGAGAAACACAAATTTTAAATTCTTTACATGAATCTTAATTCAACCAATCAGATGAAACTGTTATAATTCAACAACTGAAATTTACACTTTATTTTCCACATTCTTATTGAAAAATCTCACTTTAAAATCTAATTTATGTAAAGTTATTACATCTAAGCTATGAAAGTTACAATAGTAATAATACAATAGGTTCATTAAGGCTGGTATTAGGGTTTCCAAATACTATATCACATACTTTCTTTATCATATACAAATATGTGTTTTTATTAATGTAATGTTAAATGTTTCAGATGGTATATATAAATGTGCATTGGAAATTGAAGATAAGAAAGTGTTTATTGTAGTGTTTGTGCACCTGTAAAATGTCATTGAATATAAGTGTAACATATACAGCACAGACAATCTTACTATCATGGACGTAGCATGTATTTCAGTGTCTATGTATGTAACCAAAACTCTTGCACCATCTATTGAATGGCATCAGAAATAAAAATCCATAAAAAAAATTCACACTGAGTATTCAAGATGCAGACAATTAGAAAAATAATTTTGGTATGTGCAACAACCATTTCTTTATAATATAACACAATTTTAAATAAAGGTATTCTCCTTACAACAAGAACACAACTTTCATTAGGACTATACATATGGGCTTGATTATATCTTTACTGGAGTTCTTAAAAAACTATTATTTTTCCAATAAATGGTACCACTTTTAATATATATAAAAACATTACAGTTTATATCAGTAGAATTTACAAAAAGTTTGATGAAATGAGTTGCATAAGACTAAAAAGAACAATCCAAACATTTTTCCCGTGCAGTGCTTCCCAGAAAAATAATTTCTTAGAAAATGTTAACTTTTTCTAAATTCTCTTCAATGAGCTATGAATGCTACGATTAGTAATTACTGTAAGGCAAAATTTAGTAATTACTGTAGGGCATCATTTCAACTAATCCAGCTATAAATGCTACGATTAGTAATTACCGTAGGGCATCATTTAGTAATTACCGTAGGGCAACATTTAGTAATTACTGTAGGGCATCATTTAGTAATTACTGTAGGGCATCATTTCAACTAATCCAGCTATGAATGCTACGATTAGTAATTACCGTAGGGCATCATTTAGTAATTACCGTAGGGCAACATTTAGTAATTACTGTAGGGCATCATTTAGTAATTACTGTAGGGCATCATTTAGTAATTACTGTAGGGCATCATTTAGTAATTACTGTAGGGCATCATTT